ATATCGTATCATCAACAGTCTCATAATAATATCGTGGACTGTCACAACATATCGAATTACAAGTCTCTTTGCTTAAATGCACGGTTTTATAGTAGCAACAACTTATAAACATCAGGAACTACATATCCCATGATTCATTCCGGTGCAGTCACCATGCAAAAATATGTTAATTACTTGAATTCCTGGGATTATAACGGTAATAATTAACACCAAAATCTTGTCAGGTAATTTAAAAGCAAAAAAGTGTTGCATCTTTAATTATTAGCCTCTTCAAAATATCACAATAAATATTGTACCGTGAAATGCATATCGTGATAATATCGTACCGAGAGATTTGGACATTGTGACATCAATTTTATTCATGTCAATGCTTTGTAAATAACTTCAAATGTATTCTTTCTTCAGACACAATAAAGAAGACTAAACAAGAAATTTATCAAGACACAGTCAGAATATTTTAACACCTTTAATGTGTAATAATGAGCTAACTTTTTTCTACTTAGAATTGCTGGATGCCCTAGTGGTTAAAACGGCACATATGCAAGTCAGCATGCCTATGTCTCCACCATGAGGTACAATTTTAGTTGTGATACTAGCAATTTACAATACAGCTCTAGCAATTTTCAATATTATCCAATACCAGTAAATGAAAGTAGACAGTCATACTCACAAAAACAGAGATAACTTTTTACATTACAAAATTATAGGCATGTGACAATAACTGAAATATCGTGATATCGTTTTGCCAAAGTTCTCACAATAATATCGTGGAACATCACAATATATCGAATTACAAGTCTCTTTGCTTAAATTAAGAGTTATGGTGCAGCAATAGCTAAAAAAAGACAGAGGGAACTACATAGACCATAATCCTTTGCTCCATTTCAGTGCAGACTACAGAAGAAATAACAGTTCTAAGCACTTTTAAGTCTTAGTTCTTTGGATTAAATCTTGTCAAGCAATTTTAAGAAGAAAAAGTAGCAAATTAACAGTTTTGTTAGCCTCCACATAATATCTCGTACCGTGAGATGTATATCGTGAAAGTATTGTACTGAGAGATTTGGATATTGTTACATCCCTAATCGTGAGCCTCCCCACCATATCGTGAGCTTTCCCACGATATCGCAATAAATATCATACCGTGAGGTTCATACCGTGACAACATCGTATCATGAAACTTGGATACCGTTACACCCCTACAAAATTATATACAATGGTATAAATTCTTCAGTAAATAACAACAGAACAAGATTGTATAAATAAAACTTGATTATGCATTGTTCTGAGCCAAAAATGTCTGGTAAATTGTCTCATTATATTAATTGACCAATTTCCATGATTTTCTTTTTCCTCCTCTTCTTTGCATCATTTCAGAATACACTCTTCTTTATACTACTGTTACCTTCTGCTATGGCTTCTTGTGGATAATAGCGAGCCCCATCCATCAACCGAGTCGTCCTTAAATAACAATCACCTAATCCATCTTTGCACTGCAGTCTGTCTCCTCTATTACACATGTACAACTAATACAACTCTGGGTTATTCCATTTCCCTCCTGTCACATATTTATCAGATTGGACACTGGGACGCCCTGTCATAGCTGTCTCCCTGCCCGCTGCTCTGGTCCAGGCGGGAGGCGACCATGTTGAATATGAGACTGATAAATGTGTTACACCTGAACGTGCCCCTCGCAGCTGCTCTCACCTCTGGAGTCAATCATCATTCGAGTAAACAGGTTTTATTTATGCCTGGGGAGACTGTGAAATGAGGTCAGGAAAATATTGCTCTATCAACATGCTGATGTGCATTCTGTTAAAGACACAGTGTGTAATCTTTTTGCTAAGTAACAGACTAAGATAAATGCATGCTTTTATCGCATTAGAAAACGTAGAAAAACATGTGTCCCAACGCTAAGTGGGCTTACAGCTCCACAAACCTGACTCCTTTGACTACAATATTCAGCAGTATGACAAATAACTTGTCTACCTCTTGTTTAAGTTACATACTGTCACTTTAATTTTAGGTCTGCTTTAGTCTCATCAATAAAACAAGGGCACTACAAATATAGACAATACTTCTGTATAGTTAATTGCGCAACAGCAGGTGCACTGCATAACTTTTCTGGTGTAGGGTCTTCTGACTGTCTGTTTCAAGTGAGATATTATTGTTTTGACTAGAATGTTCCACAGTTTAATGGTCCCCATGGAGATGTACAAAGAGCAAAGTTTTACCATAGAACATTCCAGGCAAAGCAATAAGGTCTCTGTGAAGACAAAAAGGCAGGATACCAGCCACCGGAAATGCTGCAAGATGCATCTTTAAAGAGTCATTAAACACTCTCCTGAAGCAAAATCTGAGAAATCCTCCAGAGTGGGCGGTGCTCGGCAGGTTGGGGGAGCGGGTGTGGGGTGGGCTCTGGAGCGATGATTGACAGCCGACTGACAGCCAAAACAATTCAAAATGGCATGGACCGGTGCGCTCCAGACTTTGAAACAAAGCAGACATTTGTGCTTGGATCACACCATTTCCCTTTTCTCCAGACACGGTGAGACATCGCAGGGCCCAGCGGTGCCAGGCGGTGCTGAGGGGGCTCCTCACATACCGCCAATAGACATCAGTGGCTGTACTTGTCACGTGAATTCTGACTCATTGGCGGCTGTTAGTCCAACCTGAAAATTCAAACGTACTAGCCAGAGTTTATCCTAAAGAGGTCGTTAACAGACGGCTTTTGACCCAAAAGTCAGGTTTTTAACAAATATTCACTAAAATGCCAAAATAAGGCCAGGGAGAGGTATACATTTCTATTTTAGACTCATGTACACAGCTCATCAGCAGGAAAAAAAGTGATATTGGTGTTTAGTCGACCAAACACCACTAAAATGAAAAAATCTAGATGGGTTTGTATAGACCAAAACATGATATTAGAATGACCTTTCCAACCACACAAATGAGTCAAGGACAAATCTCCTTTTCAAATAACATATATATAAGTAGTCAATAAAAAAGTCAATAAGACACTACTACTAAACGGTTAGCTGTACCATCAACCTGTAGCCCTGAATATATAAACTTGGCTGGACATGTTCTACAGCCCCACTCTCCATGGAAACAGCCCCGTGTGCAGTGTGCATGTTCCACTAATGAACCTATCACAGTAAGAACATAAATTAGAGCTGGCCAATAGCAGCGCTGCAGGCAGGATTTAGCATATTGACATGTTACTGCAGGATCCCAGGACAGAGGAAATGAGAGACGATTTCCTCACGAAAGCCACGAGAGAGGGTTCAGTTATAATTAGAGATGTATGGGAAAGGATGGTGAAATAGAACTTTTATAAAATATTGGTTGGTCAATCTGATTGTCCTTTATTGTCTATTGGTCAAATCAGTATTTTTTGTGAAGCCATTTGAGGCGACTACTGTAATATGGGCTAAAAAATCAATTGAATTTAATATGGCTTTTTAATAAGAAGTTGTTTGACAATGTTTGTGTCTTGTTGCAGTGGAAGGTACTAAGGCTTTTTCAGTTTACATACAGATTACGATACTATAGCTTTAAGTATCTGTTGATAACTGATGGTCTCTGTGCTGGTATCAGTTGATGAGAACAGCATTTATTTCCTTTAAACCTAAAATAAAAGTTAAAACTGATCCATGTGATATGTGATATAGCTGTTATTTATCCCTGAAGTAATGACAAAAACAGAACAGTAAATAGTCTTTATAGTCATTGTATATGTCCAACCAGGATATCACATGAACCGATATTTAGAAGCCGATATCTGATCCAATAACTGATTTCAGTATCTGCGCTGATATCCGATACCAGTATCATATTAGTGCATCCCTACAAACAACAAATGAGCAAGCCAGCTAATACCAAAAATTGCATGTTATTAGAAAATGAAACTTCTAACCACATTTTCGTTATTCTTTCTCAGACTAATACTTGGTGCAGTAGTCATTATGAGCAGGTTGAGATCTGTCTGCGCGCGGACTTGGTTTTAACACTTATCTGGGCAGACTGGCAGAGACAGCAGTGTAATCATAAAAACCTACAGGGAGCCTCTCTCTCACCAGACACTTCCTCCTGCTCCTGAGAGGGAAGTACCAGACACTCCCAGACACCATCAGCTCAGTGCGCTGTTCTGCTGAATTACAATGGATTTTCTAACTGTTGCAATGAACAGAGACACATGTTGTCAGCAATTCTTCCACGTGAATCTGTTGTACACACTAAATCCAAGAACTACTAATTATATATATTTTAATGACACTCTACTCTTTCATAGTATTCTTAGTGAATCACAGTGGCCTCAGACTGGTACAAACCACAGGGTCAGGACAGATAATACTCACTGGTTTGAAGAGGAGCAGTGACAAAGTCTGACATTTCTATTTGGACTTTTCTATGGCTTTGGTAAAAATGAAGAACCCTTGGATTGAGGTAGCTGGTTACAGTGGTTGCTTTTCAGAAACTTTTCAAACATTTTGTATACCTGAATGCGGCAACTTCGCAAATGTAATTTTTAAAAATTTCACTATTGTAACTTATTTCATTATTGTAACTTATTTATGTACACCTGGGTTTGTGTCTATGCTATCGGTGAACTGCCATTTAGTCAGGTCACATCATACAACTATGATCATCTGTTTAATAATCTAGTAATTATAATGACTCATTCATTCAAACCCAAGCACAAGAGACTTGGTTACAGAATCATCTTATCTGATCCAACTAAGTTAAGTTTTTCTGGTCATATTGTCTTAAAACAAAGCTCAGATTAAAGTCTAACAAGCCTCTGGCAGAGCAGTGTTTACAGTTAGCATCACACCCCCACTAATGTTGATGATCAGCTGCAAAGTGTCAATATTATTTATAGTATTATATGTCTGTGGTCATAATATTATGGCTGATAATATTATGGCTAGACCATGTGAAAACCTCTCCAGAACATAACTTACAGTCTAAAACTCAGTATAATATGATAAATTTCTCACGTTGTAGAGGGGGGTGCTCTTCATTGTCTTATACTGCTTCACAGGATCCATCTTGTACAGGTGGCGGTCAGTAATGAGCACGGTGCGATCCTCTGCTTTGTTAAAACGGTTGATCTGAAAAACAAATATATTTTCAGTCTTTATGTCAGAAAAACACAGAGAGACAGAGTTTAGGGCCCTGCAGGGAGACAGAGCAACCATCAGCACTTTGTTTTTATTTGTTTGTGTCGACAGAAATAAAATATGTGTGCGTGGGCCGAGAGCTCGACAGCCGCCTACCTTTCGAACATTACAGGAGAACAAAACTCTCATAAACTTGTCTCTTCGTTGCAGTTCGCTGGAGACCAATGTGAAAGATGAAGCTGTATCGGGACTGTCTCGCTTCTGTCAATCAAAATCAAAACAAGATTATTACGCACTAACCACACAAATGAAGCAAAAACATTACTTTTTCTTAAGCCTTTTAAGAAAACATAGCTCCAGTTATATTATATCTATTTTCCCAATAGATTATAGGTTATATATTAATCATGTTGTGAAAAAAGTCAGCTCTTTCTGGTCAGTTTGTGTTAAAATAAAACTCAGATTAACTTGAGTAAAAGAGCTTCAGACAGAGGAGTGTCTACAGTTAGCATCACACCCCAGGTAATGTTGGTGACATCAGCTGTAAACTAATACGAGCTATATACACCTACTTTCATGGTTTGAACTCAACCTCAAGTTTATCGTTGTGTGTTTTGAGTACTATGTAACATTATTTAAATTTTGTTAATATGATTGTGTCAACTGTTAAAAATAGGAATGCCCTTAAAATATATGAAAATAAACAAGTACAACTAGTGTATGCAATTTCTTTTTCCAGCAAATGTAAGAAAAAAACTATTTTGGTACACTTAATATTCAGTGCTGGAGCTTTAATCCCACTCACTCACCAGGTAGTTCCCCTCCCAGGAACGCTGCAGTCCCAAGTCACTCCTGTGGCCCTTGAGTGCTTCAAATGCTGCTACTTTCGCCCTCACCTGCAGCGCCTCCTCTGGTGTAAGGCTTTTGATCAGCGTCCAAGCCCACCACCTGCAGTCACACACAAAAAAAGAGAAATCCGCTTTCCAGGTTACCATCACAATACTTTTAGTTCATACTTAAAAGCAAAGACGCCAGCTGTGCATTGGGTGTGTTAGACCAATCCTGACAGCTAACAGCATTGTAAAAAAACGTCTATTTTCAAACTGTGCAGAGAATCAGACACAAAACAACTGTTGGGATAAAAGAAGGTGATGAGGCTTTGATGGAGGAGGGAGAAATCAATGGTTTGTGTTTGGCTCCAGGCACAAGGAAACATGTGTAACTTTCACCAAATGGACACATCTGGTGTAACACAACCCTTCAGGCATGGATTAGTCTGCTCTGTGGTTGGTTCGCTGTGCAGCAACAAATAAACACATGTTTGCTGCTTTAAAAAAAAAAGTTATATATTATTTATTTCAAGTAAATGTATCCAGCTGTTTAAATATGGTTGTGTCTCTGAAATAAAATAACTATTATTTATTTAATTTTACTGACAAAACCCTATGAAAAAACTAGTGCTGTCATGCGATTAAAAAAATTGAGAGATTAATTAATTATGATCTGTAATTAATTAATCTAATTAATCTCATTTTAATCTCACCTAAAAATTGCTGAGAAAAGCCTTCAATTTGAGGTATTTTCATTTAAATTCATTATTACATTATTGTGGCAGATCACAAGACTGATATAGATTAAAAAAAGTGACTTTATAAAGTCATTTATTGTTTAACAAATCTCTCCAATTTGGCTGTTGAGCCCAAGTCTCCATGAATAAGAAACTGTTTGCTGTAAAGTAGCAAAGACGAGGAAATCTGAACATAATAACTTTTGTCCACTTAAAGACAATAAAAAGTCCAGTCTTTCCTTAACCATATTAAAAATATTATTGATAGAGAAATGCTTTATATATGAGATCACTGGTTTTAGTCCTTGTTTTAGTCCTGGTTTAGACCCGGTTTAGACCTGCTTTAGTCCTACTTTAGTCCTAGTTTAGTCCTGGAAAGGGTTAGTCCTGGTTTTAGTCCTGGTTTTAGTTCTGGTTTAGTCCTGGTTTAGTCCTGGTTTAGTCCTGGTTTAGACCTGGTTTAGTCCTGGTTTAGTCCTGGTTTAGACCTGGTTTAGACCTGGTTTTAGTTCTGGTTTTAGTTCTGGTTTAGACCTGGTTTAGTCCTGGTTTTAGTTCTGGTTTTAGTTCTGGTTTAGTCCTGGTTTAGTCCTGGTTTAGTCCTGGAGTGGATTAGTCCTGGTTTTAGTCTTGGTGTTAGTTCTGGTTTAGAGGCGCACAGGAGGAAGCGCGGTTTACGCAGCGTAGCGAGAAAACACGATCCACATGCGGCTCACGGCAGCACGTCGGTGTCCACGCAGTGTCTACGGAAGGAAACGTGGTCCGCGCGTTCTCAGGTTAATGACGATGATGAAGGTGTGTGTTTGTGTGTGTTTGTGTGTGTGTCCCCTCATGTGGCAGGTCACTATAGGACAGTAGTGCAGACATCATGAGCCTATGCAGGTTGTTTTCACCAGTGACATTTAAGTTGTAGGCGTATATTTGTTATTTTCTTTTATATTTCACGTCGGGAGAATAATTTCCAGGACACGAATGCGTTTTACCTGTGGCTACTGGACGTTTACATCGCTCTTACTGCGCGCGTTTTGTGTGGGTTTCCAACAATGAGTGGAATTACCGAAATAAAAAAATGTATAAATGTGTTTTTTGTGTGTGTGTGTGTGTTGTTGTCCCAACAACACATAAAAACTGGTTTAATAATAAAGCAACTTGCATACAGAAACAGTAAATTTAGAGATTAAAAATGAGATTAACGCGATTAAAAAACATAACGCGCTAAATATGACTGTAATTAATTAATTGCAATTAACGCGATAATTTGACACCCCTAGAAAAAACATCCATCTAATCCATCCATGGGTTTCAGAATGATATACCATTGCCATAGCAATTAACAAATTATCATAGCATCTTATTCTTTTCACACGTATGTATTATTTTGTACCTTATGTCAAAATATTTAATGAGCCAGATTGCATACATTGACCTGTAAGGTGATTTAAATATATATTGAATTTCTTCCCTTATGCCCATTTTAATATTTACTTTTCGACATTATTAACTATTTCTCAGTCTAATAATAATGATCTCTGTACCTGTTGTAGATGCTCCGCAGGGCTTCCTCAAACTTGCGCAGTACTTTTGGAGGTGTGGGCCACTTCACGTGTCTGCCGTAGTCTTTCATGTTTTTGACATTTCTGAAGCGCCGGTTCACTTCCTTTATGTAGGACTTCACTTTGTAGCGTCTGTAGGCTCGCAGGATTATCAGGGCTGCTCTCATACGGCGATACCTCATTCTGGCCAGAGTTCCCCTCCATACCTGTAAAAAAGAAGAAAAAAATATCAAATAAAATAAAGATAAAAAAAATGAATGAATTGTCTAAAAATGAGCTATACAAGCACTGTAGCTAAGCAGTTCCACATGCTGGTTACCATGGTGACACACATCAGCAAACAACAGTTTTTAGTTTTAATTTAAACAGGAAATTTTCAGGAGTCTGTGATCTGAACAAGTTTTTTTTTTTTTTTTTTTTTTTGATTCATCAAAGAAGGTGAGTGTGAGTTGACAGTTGGCTAATGCTAGCTAGCTGGTGACTTGATTTGATAAGGACTGGTTTAACTGCACAAATCAGCTCACCTGCTGTAGTTCCAAGTATTGGAAGACAGACATATGCTTTTATTGATACACTGACAGTACATAATAATAATTACATTGACCAAGACAAAGTCATAGCAAAGAATAAGCATTAGCATGATGCTAAAGCTTAACATGATAATTTTATAAAATGGTAGTCGCTGAGTAGTCAGGTCTAGGGTGACAAGATTTTCAAAAACAAAAACTGGGACACCCCTGGTTTCTGGTGGTTGGTAATGATAAAATTGTGAAACGAGTGCGGAATTAAGGTTGTATAGAGGATTTTCCAAGGAACGAGAAATCCAGCGACTGTTTGTCCTTTTTCAAATGTTGCGCATGCGTGAAACCACCCCCCCCCCTACAGCTCCCTACGTAGAAACGCCTTCTCCCGCCTCCTCACTACGCCAGAAACAGGTTTGTTTACAGCCGGTGAGCTGCACATGACTTGTAAACAACTAACTACAGTGTTGGTTAGGCAAGGCGGAGAAGTGAGGAGCGGGGGGAGCGGGTGTGCGGACATTTCGTTCGCGGACGAGAAGTGAGGAGCAGGGAGAAGAGCGGAGCAGGGAGAGAGGAGAGAGGAGAGAGGAGAGGGGAGCGGTGCGCGGAGATTCCGTGCCCGTAGAAGTGAGGAGAAGGGGGAAGAGCGGAACGGGCAGCGGGGACAGGAGTAGGAAAGGGGAGCAGAGAAGGTTGCGCGGAGATTCAGTGCGAATGAACTAGCTACAACACGCAGCAGCAAGCGGACTCTTTCTTTGCCTTGAAAATTACGTTTTCAGACATAGGATATCGCTTTCGTGTCCTGAAAAACGTTTGACTAGCTCTTGGAAATAAAGTACGTTTTCATAATAAGCAGAAGTTACCTGTCCAGGAGTAATTTGGCGACCAATGCGTCAGTCTTTAGACCCTGCGTCTGCTTCAGTCGCGCCATCGCTGGAATGAATCTACAAGAATCACCTTAGTTTGGCTTCGCTGCTTTTCCCCTTGTCTTCTTCTTTCAGCGACCTCAAAAACGGACTTTCTTTTGCGGCTAACTGCTCCTGGATTCTTGTCGCCATTGCAACAAACTTTGTGCTAACTGCGAGGAAGATATAGGTCAAAAAAAGCCGCTAAGAACTGTTGCATTGGTGGAGTAAACAGCGTCTGTGCGTCTTGCGTCTGTGGACTGCGTGACAGGCGTACGTAAACCACGTACCGGCGGCGCGCAGGCAAGTCAGTTACGCTAGAAACGTAGGGAGTTTGATTGATAGCCTGTCAGCTAACAGATAACGAGGCCGTGTCGTTATCTATTGGCAAATGTTTAGCTGGCCCCACCACGTCCAGAGTTGATGAATTTTTATTTCTTTTTTTTGGTCATCATAATTACAAGGCTACTGCACCTCTATAATGCTATCATTGACAACTTGAAACAAAAAAAAAAAAAAAAAAATCCTCCATACAACCTTTAAGGAAAATTGTTCTACACTCGGCCCATTCATGACAAACACGTGACTCAGTATAGTCATGTTTTTGTCATTTTTAAGCAGCTTTTCTATATTTTACTTACACAAATGACAACGTATGTCTCTTTTTCCTGTTGACAGGGATCAGATTGGTTAAAAATAGGGACACCTATCTAACCTAACCAATGTTTAAGGTGATTTTTGAGACGATGGCCCAGAGAATCTTGGAGAAAGTGGAAGACTGGTTGGATAAAACATCTCAAATCAAGTCTCAATACTCAGTAGATGCGGCCAGATACATTCAGATCAATATTGGGACTTCGATGGAAAAATGTCATACTCTGATTGACTCGTTTAAACTGAGAAAAACTGTGAGGAAATCCTTCAAAGAGGCAGTGATGGATACTTTTTGTGTAGACAAGATAACTAACAACTTCAGCGATGCAGTGCTCGAAACTGTGATTGAAAATATGAACTGTACCCTAAAAGCCATTTCCCAGGATCTAGAAAATGCAAGTGTCATGGTAACCAAAAGCACAATAGTTGAGAAGATTATAGAGGACGCTGCGGAAACATTATGGAACATTTTTACTGGACCAAACAGCCTGACGATAACAACTTCGAGAACAGCCAAGTTTTCAGTGTTCAGGGCATTGTTTTATTGGTGCTTGAAATAGAGAGATAAGTCCCACCAGTTTAACAATATCATTAACTTCAGCAAATAAAAATAATACAAAAAATATCAGGCCTATTTTTTCTCAATGTCCAATCATTTTGACAGTTTTTATTATAGCTTGAAGGCATAACCACAAAATAAACAAACTACTGAGTCCAATAGCAAAAACAGCTATCTCAGTTTTGAACAATGTTATTTTTATTTTTGTTACTATCTTCTACAGATGATCAATGAATAGTGTTTAGTGAATATTATCAAGGAGGGATGGAATAATGCTTGGATTGCAGTTAATACATTTTGTACAAAGAGTAAACTGACTTTTTAAAGGTGCACTGTGCAACTTTTGTGGTAAAGGGTTTGCCACTTGTTTGTCTCCATGGAGATGATATACAAACTTAAATCTTACATTGCTCATTATTGCTTGAAAAACACACATTCTTACTGTAAACAGAGTTACATTTCCACAAATCTGACCTGTAACTTGGCCTGGCGGGATTACTTGCTTGTTACCATGGAAATAGATATGCTTAATGTCATACTGTGGAACATACCAGGCAAACCAATAACATCTTCATGGAGACAAGCAGGTGATGGACTCTCTACCACAAACGTTACACAGTGCACCTTTAAAATGGCAAAGACTATAATAGCAAATGAATTAATCTTGGAGTCTATAATTTTTGGCCTCCCCTGAATTAAGGAGACCCCTCGACAAATGGTGTAGCTGAAAATAGGATGAGGGGCTATTAGACCTTCTGCAACATGAATAATAGATATAAGTGGCACCCAAGGGAGACTCATAACTCATCATTCACCCACATTTAACTCAGCATATGGTCCTAGCCCACAGTTTCCACCTACCTTTTTATGCAGTAATTTCCGTGGTTATGCAGCCAATAGGTGAATTTAATTTGAAAGCCAATCAAATGAGACAATACGACAGACAACACTGGGGATCAGATCATTGTAATGTATTGTACAATTGTAATCAGGAGCTCATGAATATTTAATGATGCAGAATAAGGAGTTGGCCTGTGGCAAAAAGAAGAATTTGGATAATTTGCATATCTGAAGTGATCTCACCTGATGATGAGACCAGATCATCGAAGACAATTATGATTCATACACTTCAAATAAGAAAGTGGCTGTTGCTTTACTTAATACGTAATTATTGGTACAGTACCGTAAAAAAATTTTATTATTCTTGAGAAGTTTAAGTTTGGCTTCATGAGATTGTGACCAATGCAAGAATATATTATAATATTGTAGAATTGGCCAAAATTATCCACTTTTTTCATATTGATTTATCACAATTTTTGGTTAAATTATACTTTTTCTTTTTAAAAACCAATAGGAATGTCTAAATATAAATGTCCAGCACATAAACAATACAAACTTTTAATCATTGCCATTTACCACAAAGTAGGTAACACAACTGTTCCTCCAAATTCTGAACTTTTATTATTAGAATACAGAATCACATTTTTATTTTTTAAAATGTGATTAATTGCATAGACATAATATAATGTGTCATAAATACACTGACACATATTTTTCAGTAGGAGCTGTTACCATTGGTTGGATTTAACCTATAATACTGCTAGGAGATCACTTTGAGAAATCTTTTTCAGTGGATTCAAATGATTTGTTTTATATCAGCCTCACAGACGTTTTTCTATATTTATTTATAAATTGTCTACTTCCTAAATTTCTAAACCTATTTCTACTAAAGGTGCCATCATAAAAAGAAGATCTGTTATTCAAATAGGAAGTTAAAATGCAAAAAATATATATATATTTATATGTATCTTTAATGTTACGGCTAAACGTTAACTAAAGTGAAAATGCTAGAAGGAAACTCATTGCCGAATCACAGTAATTGAATGATCATGCCCAGAGGCTGCTGATGTAGAAACAAGGTAGTGTCTTAAACAGAGATCAATAAGAGAGCGCCAGTGAGTCATACCAACCACACAGGACCTTGGTCATATCAACCCCAACCTTCAGTTTTTCTATCAACTGAACACTAACCCCACAATAAAAAGAGACAATTCAAACAAAACTGCCATGGTTTCTGCAAATAAAGAAAGATTTTCTGCAATAAAATATTTTAATAAGGATAAAACATTTTAGGGGTCCTTCAAAAATGTGTTTGTAAAAGCATGCAAAAAACAACAAAAACAAAATAGCAGTAATAGGAGTGGGCCATACTGAAAAAAATTTACACAATATTATCTCAAACCAATAGAAACGTGTTAAGACATTTTTTAATGTATAAGTTGAGCTTAAAGTATCAATCAAAGTTTACACACAAAAGTGAAGAAATATCACTTTGTACCCCTATTTTGAACTTTGTTTTCCCAATTTCATAATTTATTTAGACACGCTGGTGTGACCTAGTGCCTCTGCTCAATTTAATTTCTCTCCAGCAACTAGGTCAGGAATCAGAATACACTAGACGGTTTGCAAAAAACCCCAGAAGTATGAGTTCGGGCACCAGATAATCAGCAAAGAGCCATACATTCTGTGTTCCCGAGATCGAGGATTTAAAGCCGGAACAAAGAGAA